TCCTTGCCCCTCCGCTCCTTAAAGCCGGCACCCTTCCTCCGAGGGGCCGCCTGGTCTGGGATCTGGGAAGGGGGAAGGGGTAGAGGGTGGTGGGGGATGGGCCAGGCAGCTAGTTTGTGGGGTTTGGTCTTCGGCTCCCCGCCTCTTTGGGGCGGGGCCTGGTGATTCCAAAGCAACATGGAGGAGGGGCCACTGTGGGTAAGCTGGAGCCTGGGGTCCCGACGGGATGGCGGCATCTGCACCTAGACCCAGAGTGTACCAGGCTTGGCTCCTCCTCGCGATTCATTTACCTTCCGCTTAGTCCCCTTGTTCTCCTCCCTGCTTCGTATGCCGAACTCCCACTTGGGCTCCCACCTGGGCCCTGTAGTTCCCTATCTCAAATTCCTACTCTTCCCTCCAGCTTAGATTCTCAAGCATTCTTTCATTCCTAAATTCTAAAATAAACATTTATTAAGGGCCGGTTGTGCCAAGTCTAAAGAGCGATGGTGGTGCAGTGAGTTAAGTACTTGGGGGCTGTAAACCTCAAGCTTATTTGAACTCTCGTGTCGCTCTGCAAGAGAGAAATGTGGCAGTCAGCTTCGGAAAGAGTTACAGCCCCTGCAAGCCTCTAGAGCGGTTCCGCTCCGTCATACAGGGTTGCTATGAGTCAGAATCTACTCCATGGCTGGGGAGTTGTTTGTTGCCAAGGCCTGAGGTTCCTCGGTGGTTTGCACTCAACTACTAACCTAAAGGTTGGCAGTTCAACACAGTTCACCCAGCAGCAAAGGCCTGGTGATCTGCTTCTTTAAGGATCACAACCTAGAATAACCCTGTGGAGCTATTCTATTCTATAACATATGGGTCAGTCTGAGACTGGACAGCGGGTTGTTCCAGGCAAGGATCTTGTACAAAGTTGGATGAAGAAGGAGCACTAGGCCACAGGTTTTGTAGGTACAAATACACTGTAGCCAGAATCACAGTGCAAGTCACTAGAATGGCCAAAACCAGAGCAAGGAAATGTTAGAGGTCCCGGGAGGGAGCCTCTTGAAAGGTTCTAGGTAGGTGACATAATCATATATGCATGGTTGAAGGATCTCAGTGATCTTTCTATGAAGTGATTGGAAGTGAACTGGACCAATGGCTAGGACATGTAAGCGTGTGTTAAAGTTGACAGTCTCACCATGATGGTGCCCTTCACCTGTGGGAGTGGCAAAGGGTTTGAGGAAGAAGTAGTGAGTCCCGATGATGGAGTTGGTTGTGCGTTGTGCTACCAACTGTAAGTTCTGAAGTTGATACCCACCACCTGCTCAGAAGTAGAAAGATGAGATTGTCTGATCCCATAAAGACTTAGGGTCTCAGAAACCCTATACAGGGTACCTATGAGTCAGTATGCACTTGATGGCAGTAGGTTTGGGTTTTGTTAGGTTTGTTTTGGTAGAGGTAGAAGTCACAGATCTCAAGGTCAATCCAATGGGAGAAAGGGGCTGCAGAGGAGAAGGATACTCAAGACTACTTGTCCAGGCAACTGGTTACATGATGGTGCTGTTCTTTTTTTTTTTTTTTATTCTTTTTAAATAAATCACTTTATTGGAGGCTCTTATAGCTCTTATGCATGTGTCAAGCACCTTTTTGTGTTCTTTATTTTATTTTTTGTAAATCATTTTATTGGGGGCTCATACAACTCTTATCACAATCCATACACACATCAATTGTGTCAAGCACATCCGAACATTCGTTGCCTTCATCATTCTCAAAACATTTGCTCTCCATCCAAGCTCCTGGCATCAGCTCCTCATTTTTCCCTCCCTCCCTACTACCCCCTCCCTCATGAACCCCTGACAACGTATAAATTATTATTTTGTCATATCTTACACTGTCCAACGTCTCCCTTCACCCACCCTTCCATCGTCCATCCGCCAGGGAGGAGGTTATATGTAGATCCTTGTAATCGTTTCCCCACTTCCACCCTACTCTCTCTCCACCCTCCCGGTATTGCCACTCTCAGCACTGGTCCTGAAGGGATCATCGGGCCAGGATTCCCCGTGTTTCCAGCTCCCATCTGCACCAGTGTACACCCTCTGGTCTAGCCAGATTTGCAAGGTAAAATTGGGATCATCATAGTTGAGGGGGTAGTGGGGGGAGGGGGGAAGCTTTTAGGAACAGAGGAAAGTTGGATGTTTCATCCTTGCTGCATTACACCCTGACTGGCTAGTCTCCTCCCCTAGACCCTTCCATAAGGGATGTCCAGTTGCCTACAGATGGGTCTTGGGTCTCCAATCTGCACTCCCCCTCATTCTCAATGATTTTATTTTTTTGTTCTTTGATGCCTGATACCTGGTCCCTTTGACACCTCATGATCACACAGGCTGGTGTGCTTCTTCCATGTGGGCTTTGTTGGTGCTGAATGTTGAGTCCAACTTTGGACATGCTGAAATTGTAGACACTCCGGGACATCCAAGTAGCTGACTGTTAGGATTTGAATTCCAGAGGAGACACTACGGCAGTAGTTCTCAACCTTCCTAATGCCAAACCCTTTAATACAGTTCCTCATGGTGTGGTGACCCCCCCAACCATAAAATTATTTGTGTTGCTACTTCATAACTGTAATTTGCTGCTGCTATGAATTGGGTGACCCCAGTGAAAGAGTCATTCGACCCCCAAAGGGGTCTAGACCCACAGTTGAGAACCGCTGCACTAGGGACTTAATAACATGTATTTGCCGATCAAAGCCACAGAAGGAAGTGGAAATCACCCAGAGAAGGTATGTAAAATGGGTTCAGACAAGGCCTAAATCTGAACCCCGAGGATTCCAACATTAGGGGTGATCAGAGACAACAAAGAGGAAGTGTTTCAAGAGAATGGAGAAGATCTGAGTCAAAAGCAGCGGGGAATAAAATGTGGTTTCCAGGAGGAGGAAGTGGTCAGGAGTGTCATTACCCGTGGAGGTTAAATAAAACAAGGGAAGAAATTCATGACCATTGGGATTGATAGGGTCCGTCCCTGCCTGGACTCTCAACTGCCTGCCCTGGGAGACCAGTTTTAGTGAAGTGAAGAGTGGGACTTAGGCTTCCCTACCCCCAACATTTTATTTTGTACAAATTTAAACATACAGGACTGTTGAGTGAATAATAGAATAACCATCAGTATATGCTTCATCTTGATTCAATAATTATTGACACTTGTATTAGTCTAGATACTTTGGAGAAACAAATCCACAGCAACTCATGTGTGAGAGAGAGTTTTATGTAAAGAAAATGTGCATCACGAAAACATCCCAACCCAATGTTGCCCAAGCCCACAAGTCCAACATTAACCCATTTAACCCAACACCAGTCCACAAAGTCCTCCACCTCACAAAACAGAGGCAATGATGCCGACTGCAGGAGGAAAGCTGAGTCAGTGAACGAATAAGCATCTCAGCACTGGCAGGGGTCTCCACACGGCTGCTCCAGCACCCAGGGCTGCATCGGGATAGGTCCATGTGGCTTCTCCTTGGGGATGTAGTGTAGGAAGTCAATCTTGCAAGCTGAAGCAGGGAACTGCTAAGGCAGCTGCACCCAGTGCAACCACCACAAAACAAGAGACCCGAGAACTAGAAAGGCGAGGCTTCACCACCCATTTATCCCTCCACCTTTCAACCAGCACCACATGTGATCATCGGCCAGGCTGGCACAATTAACTAACTCAACACTTTAGCCGTATTTGCTTTCTTTAACATATAAGGAGCCCTGGTGGTGTAGTGGCTTCATGTTGGTCAACGTTTTGAAATCACCAGCTGCTCTGGAAAGATGTGACTCTCTACTCCCAAAAATAGCTACAGCCCCAGAAACCTACAAAGCCAGTTCTACCCTGTCCTATAGGGTTGTTAGCAGTCGGGATCGACTCAATGGCGGTGAGCTTGAGTTTATTTTAACCACATATATGTATATAAATCAGCCACAGAAACCCAACTCTGATACACTTGGGGTCTTTGTGAGTCCAACCTGACTTGATGATAGCTGGTTTGGTGGTGGTTCTTTTTTCTAACAATATGGATTCTTAGGCCTTTATTTATTTAATATTTTTATTGAACTTTAATTAGCATATCATACAATTCAGTAGTTCACTCATATTAAGAAGGGCTGCACAATCATCACTACAATGAACTTTGGAACATTTTCTTCCTCCTTGTACCCATTGCTGTTGATTCCCCTTCTTTCCCCAACCTCCCCTCCCATCCCCCCAGGTAATTATTAATCCAGTTCCTGTCTTCATAAATCCACCCATTAGAATTTAGGCTGTGCTACTATTCCCTCCTCTGGGTTTGGACTTTATTAGACAGAGCTGATTCCTCACTTAGATAGCTGCTTGCTTTGAGGCCCCAGATGCTATTCTGTCTGATAACCTGATTTTTAAAAAATCATTTTATTGGGAGCTCTTACAGATATTATAAAAATCTATAATTTAATTAGATTAAGCATAGTTGTACAATTGCTACCACCATCATTTTCAAAACTTCTTGAACTCTTTGGTATCAGCTCCCCTTTATCCCTTCCCTCCCAACCCTACCATCCTCCAGGAACCCTTATTATTATATGTTATTATTATTTGCCATATCTTACATCACCCAATGTATCCATTCACTTACAATTCTACTATTCATTCCCCTCAAGTGGGGTTATGCAGTCATCATTGCTATCAGTTCCCTCCCCACCCCCTCTTCCCATACCCTCAGGGAATTGTTACTTCCCTTACTATTTCTGAAGGGTTTATCTATCTTGGATTTCATGCA